GTATATTATTGTCAACCATATATTTTTTTTTTATAATTTTTATTTATTTTGATTTCATTCTAAAATGAAATTGTTGTAAAATATATTTTTTATTGCAGAGTATGCTAAATAAACTATAAATCCTTATAATGCAAATTAAAAAAAATAAATAAAAATCTTCATTATAGAAAGGGTTGAGTTTTTGGCATTTGCTAAATCAAAGTGTTTAATAAGTATACAAAATTAAATTCTTAAAAAACTTGTGTGTATATTTTGTAAAATATTTGTACATTATTTAATTTTATATTATTTACATATTATAAATTGATTACATAAATAAATAATACTAACGTGCATTAAATATTTTTCATTACATAAAAAAAATACGTACAACTTCTATAAATATTATAAATAATAATCACATTCTATGATAACAAATTTTATAATAAAATAATAATTAAGTATTATATGGTGAACAAGAATAAGTAAAACTATTATCTTCCTTTATATCAGTGAATATATATGTATATATATTAAAATTAAATTTATATTAGAAAAATGTTAGTGAGATAATATATTTATTATTTTACAAGCTAGCTTTAACATTTTCGTATTTAATATTCTGGCAAAAAAAAAAAAACACTGATTAAAAGATGTGGAAACTAGATTACAACCTTATTGTTTTTTAGACTTAATGTTGATTAAAAGAGGTATAAAGTAAATGATAAGCTTATTTTTTTAAAACTTAAACGAACATAATATGTACAAAATAACTCATTTAATATCTCTTGCATCACACGAGCTACGTACTAGTATACAAAAAAGTTATTGATGTGGAATATATACAAGGTATATTCACTATCTATACTTATATAATAAGTCATCTCATTTACTAAAATTAGTAGGTAGAAAAGTCAAAGGACAATTAATTCATGTTATTTCCATCAATATTTTTATTTAATTTTTTTTTGGCCGAAATGATAGAGGTATTATAAATGAAAACGCACAACTGTGCAAAAAAGCAGCACAAGGCTGAATATTACAACCAAGAACTAGAAACTGAGAGGACGGATCGAAAGACCG